AAATAATGCCTGGATGAACAACTTCAGGTGGTAGTTATCATATCTTGAAACTTTTGTTGAAATTGGCCCTGTAGTTTTGGAGGAATTGTACGGATATGGATTTTTCAACAAAGGACCATAACTTTGTAAATAAATGTCAGAATGTAAAAAGAATACCTGGATGCACAGCTTCAGGTGGTAGTTATCATATCTGGAAAGTTTCGTTGAAATCGATCCATAACTTTAGAAGGAGTTGTCCGGACAAAAAGTTTCAGAATTTGTTCAACAAAGGGCAACAACTTCGTCAAAAAGGGTCAGAAAAAAATGGTACCTGACTGCACAACTTCAGATGGCAGTTATCATATCTGGAAAGTTTCGTTGAAAATGGTTCATTACTTTAGAAGGAGTTGTCTGGACAAACTTTTTCTAGGGACAGACAGACAGACAGACAGACAGACGGACGGACGGACGGACGGACGGACGGACATGCTGATTCCAGTATACCCCCTTACTTCGTAGCGGAGGTATCATAACATGTCTAACTTGATCACTCAACTATAACAATACCATGACTGACATGTTGAGGGTATGTAAAAGAGTAACATAAATTCATTTGCAAAGTTACTTTGTCTTTACATTGGCATGCCTTATCCAAATAAGGGGAGGGGACCGGTGATTGTTATGGCTCAACATTAGTGTGCTGGTCAACATGTAACACCACCACAACTATTGTGCCAGTTTTAAACATAATGACAAGATAGATAACCCACCTGAAGAGACGGAGATATAAAATAATGATAAAAACCCTCGCATGATAATCGATTTAATACAACGTAATCCGTATTAACTGAAATTGAGCACATTTGTAATCCGTATCACAAGTATTAGACAGCAGTTTATGCACAAATGGAATGTCCATGTGATAAATTAATATATTTAATAATAAAAGTATTATTCGTTCTATAATTGTAGTTATTTATTCCATTTCAATGACACGTGGAATCGTTTTATTCATCTTCATATCAAACACACGTATATTTGTGTATTACGTCAGAATATTCATGGTATAAAATCTACTATGACACGTGTATGTGATAGTATCTATACCTTCAACAGACTTTTGTGTTATCATTGTTTCCGCTTTGTTGCTATCTTTTATTTTGCTGCAACCCTCTTCCAATCGTGGGAGAATCTTTCTCTGCCGTAAGCCGTATTGACGAAATCCAAACAGCAAGTATTAACTTGCCGTAATCCAAACAGCGAGTATTAACTTGCCGTAATCCAAACAGCGAGTATTACCTTGCTGTAATCCAAACAGCGAGTATTACCTTGCCGTAATCCAAACAGCGAGTATTACCTTGCCGTAATCCAAACAACGAGTATTACGTATACCTTGGCGTAAGCGAAATAGCGAGTATCGGGATTACCCCCGTGATGTGGAAGATAAATACACCACCAAGGCATGCAACACTTGACTTACTTTGAGGGTGGGTTAAATATCTCGGAACATTTTTTTTTTAATGTTGGACTCGAGAAATTAAACCCACTCTCAAAGTTGGTCTTTCCTGACTTAAAAGATCTGCATCATTAGGACGTAGTTGTGTTGACAGACATAGTACCTAATAACTTGTTCCTTTTCTGCAAACACTGACATTTCCTGCCTGTAAATAGAATTAGAATTGATTGACAACAAAGGCCCCCTACGTATGAAATGTTTTCCCAATTTATTTCGAAAGACGAAATACTAGCTTATCATGATTTCCTAAAAACAGTAAGTGATAAGGAGACCAATCTTAGTCCTATAACATGTGGGTATCCTAGTATAACACGTTATACTCCAGAAGTAGAATTAATGAAATGTAGATTTGGAAGAATTTAAATGGTCTTTTGAAGAATGTTTTTTTCTTGAGCAGTATTTCCCTAAACAAACTTTTCTAGAATCAGATATTTGACTTTTCCGCTCTATGCACTACCACACCTAATACCATAATCTAGCACTTATAGTAAACTTCATGCTGACGCCGCCGTCGTCGCCGGAAAAACAACATCTTAGTCTCGCTTCCGCTACACTCTCACGGCGAGACAAAATCAGCATGTTTTGGCCGACGGTTGTAAATCAGCAGAGGCAGATGCATCATCACTCAAGGAAAGACAACTGTGGGTAGAACTGTGGGTAGAACTGTTAGAACTGTGGGTAGAACTGTGGGTAGAACTGTGGGGAACTGTGGGTAGAACTGTGGGTAGAACTGTTAGAACTGTGGGTAGAACTGTGGGTAGAAATTGGGATGGCCCAAGGCACTGTTATGGGCACTCTCCTATTCTCGGCCTTTAGTAATGACCTCCCAAGCACAAGTCAAGCTCTTTGCCGATAATTGCTTAATATAGTACATTAACGACTCAGTCATCCTACAAGACATGTCAGCACTCGAACATTCAATCCTCACAAGGATATTACCATCAGAACCACACGAAAGCGGTAGCCAGTCAATGTCACGTACCACCTACATGGCTATGATTCGGAAATTGTCCCTAGAAGCAAATATCTGGGCGTCGACATTAGTAAAAAAATCTCTAGGCACAAACACCTTAGTCCTAACGAGGAACCTAAGGTGTTGCATACAGTTTTCAAGACACAGGCTATTACGACACTTATCAGGAATGCCCTCGAGTATGTATCTAATGTTTGGGACCCTTATCAGGCACAACAGATGCAACAACCTGAAAGAGTTCAGCGCTAAGCTGCAACTTTTGCTACTGGGGATAACTATTCCAGAGACCCTGGATGTATCACGAATACGCTACATCAGCTGAATTGTGAACCCCTCGAGCATACGAGAGCTTGGAACAGAGTTATAATACTTTACAAGACAATTAACAATATCGTAGAATTCCCTGAGCGTCGACTCCGGTGTCTCGCAGGGATCAGTCCTCGGACCAAGCCTCTCTCTATTCTATATCAACGACCTGCACGACAATCTATCGTCTACTGTCCGGTGTACTGACGAAATTATTGCCTACTCACCATTGCCTCAGAAAACAGCGGTAAGACCCTACAGGGGGGTCTAAACAAGCTGGGATGTTGGGAGGATCAGTGGTGTATGAAGTTCCACCCGGACAAGTCCAATGTCTTGAGAGTCACCAACAAGAGAAATCCAATCAAGACCGATTACCACCTACACGGCCATTCCTTGCAAGAAGTCCAGTCAGCAGTATACCTCGGCGTCACCATCTCAAACACCATGAAGTGGAACACACACATCCAGAAGATCGTTAGCAAGGCAAACAGGACGCTGGGCTTCCTGCGTAGGAACCTGCAGATTTCTTCCACCAAGATAAAATCCATGGCATACTTCGCGCTAGTAATACCCCTGCTGGAGTATGTCTGCACTCTTTGGGACCCCCACACCAAGGGGAACATCAATCAAATAGAGCAAATAGAAATGAGCAGCGCAGTACGTGACCTGCCGCCACAGAAACACATCCAGCGTCCCCAGCATGCTCGACGTACTTGGGTGGAGATCACTCCAGAAAAGCGGTCATGACGCTCGCCTGGCTATGTTGTACAGGATCGACCGAGGCCTAGTTGCGATAAGTAAAGGCGGAAGACTGCTACCACCTCGCAGACTCGGTAGATCTGTCCATGCCAGATCATACCAGCTCCTCACAAGCAGGATCGACACAATGAATATGTCCTTCATCCTCAGGACGGTGAAAGACTGGAACGCCCTCCCGCCAGACATCACCCTCGTCAAAACACTGGACGCCTTCAAGGCCAGTGTGTCAAAACTCTGAGGTACTTTGTTTTTATCCTGTTTTTATCAACTTTTAACATTCCAACGTAGGTCCTGCACCATGCACACCACCTACGTACATAGCAGAATATTCAACCTGTTGAATGAGGCTACTACCAGGCAGAAGCAGAGGCAGAAGCAGCTAGCAATGAGACCGTCAGGCTGTAGGGACACACCGAAAATCAGTACTAACAAGTCCTGAGCCATATAACTGTCAGTATACA